CTCCTTTTTTGCTTCCTCAGCCCAGCTGAAGTATGGTAGCGATGCCGTACAACCGAACCGGAGAGCAGACGCAAGGCTGGACCCGACGGACAGCACACCCCAAACCAAGTTGCCTCTCTGCCCTCCTCARCTACTTCTCCTTTTTAAAGCTGAAGTCCATCGGTTGTCTCAGGGAGACCGGCATGATCTGCCTGCTCCATGGTACGCCCCGCTGTGATGAGACAGAAGATGGCCACTGCAGTGCTCGATGAGCTGGCCCCTGAATAGCGAGGGTTCGTGTGTCGCCGAAGCCAAGAGCCGCTGGCAGCCTGGCTGCTGCCACTGCTCGTATGGCACTGCCAGCGATCCTGGTTCAGGCCCTTTGATTGGCATATACCCGAGCAGCACCTGCTCGAGCACAGCTCCCGTTTCCATTACATCTTCTGGCTCCCGTTAGATCCAACATGTAGCAGCTTCTGTCCTCTTTGTATATTTTATTTAATCGTCAATATCGGAATGGCCCACACTTTAGTGTCAGGAGAGGGATTTCACAAAGCCTAAATGTATTCTACAGTTCTTAAAGCTACTGCATTTTGATTTTTAAAAGGATAAAATAAGACTTGAATGTATTGCTTGAACACAGATTACTTTCTTTATATGTTAAAAACATGATCAAAGCTAAAAAGCAATAGGCAGAATATTTTACCACTTGAGTTTTGCCATTGGAACTATTTAAAAACTTAAGGTGGAGCTACCGTGTTATGTGCCATTGGGATCAAAGCCACAAATTAAAAAATGTGCAGTGCAGATCACCTTTGGCAATAAAAGAGAAATCTTATAATACTAGATCACAAATCCTTAAGGCCATACCATTAATTGCAGAGAGCATCACCTTGGATATGAAAATAATGTATATCATTGCCATACCTTTAGAAACCAATTGCCAGAATTTTGACTGAGAAGAGCTAGAACTGTCCTTTAAAAGCACACTGAAAGCTGTACATGTGGGTGAGGGAGAGTTATCAAAGTTACCAGTTTCAGTGCAAAAATATATGAAAATAGCTATCCTGAATAAGTTTAATTTGCAAATTATATAAGAAAGTATATTTTTAATGGCTTGTCATGGCCAAGAAAAAGAGTGTAAGGGAAAGTGTGGCAGATCTTGTATACTTTGTTATTATAACAGCTAATGGTGCATTAATTAATTAATTAATTAATTTTTCACAAACAGAGCAGTCAATGAACAGCTGTTCTTGTTTTCATTGCACACAGAATAAGTGGTATAAACAATGTGATTTACTTATAGTGTGCTGCTTATTTCTGGCAGAATGGTACAAAACTAATTCTTTTGTTGTTTAGACTTCTGGTATGAAATCAATCTACTATGATTACAGGTTTTTATTGTGTCAGGAAAATTTAGTATGCTGGCATCTGATTCTGCCACCACTTCCACACTTGTCCTCCAGAAGAGCTGGAAGTCATCAAGAAGCAATGACATCAATAGGTTTTTAAATCTTTCAGCACCTCCCATAAAGTACTTGGCATCCTACAGAATTGGGCCTGAGAACACCTCAATCAGCCTTTGGAGATAAAAAGCATAGTTCAGCAAAAGGGGGAAATAGAGCACTGCCTAAGGGAAGTAAATGTTCTGTCCTAACCTAAAACCTACTCTCTCTTTCACTGTCTGCCAGCCCATAGAACTGAAGTCTGGGTTAAATTAGTTGTACTGGAGGTAGAGCTTTTGGATCTCTGGTGAGACTATGGATGCTYTTAAGTATAGGTAGACCATTTTGGCTCAGATCCATCTCACAATGGGTGGTTGTACTTAATCACTTAGTTTTAACTTGTTTCACTAATAATAGCACTCTTCATTAGTTTTTAAATAAATACTTTAGCCATACCATAATGACTTTAATGTTCTTAGTGCTTATTTTAATGCAGAGCTTCCAGTTGATGGAAATTCTGCAGGATGTTTCTAACAGGATGCTGACATACCCATCCAGTCTGAATTTTTAAAATGTAAGTCTTACGGATTTCAGATTTTTTTTGGCCACAGAAATCAGAATTAGCTTTGAAACTTGGACCTTGACCAGCATTCAGATTTCTAATAGTGTTAAAAATGTTATCTTTTGCTTCAACACACTTTCACTCCAACTACTGTGAAACGTAACAAGTAGTAACTATCCACTGCTATATTCCTGTATTTCAGTCTCCAAGAGCTCTCAGTTGCTTTCAAGTAGAACTGATTCATCCAACGAAATGTTCAGCCGGATTATCTCTCACCACTCTCACTACCACTTCTAAAGTTAAAAAAGAAAAGAAAAGTGGTATTGTCTGTAAGTTAATAGTGTTAAAAACCACTATACTGTATAAAACATAGCTAACATTGTCAGTACAATAGAAATTCAAAGATTCTTCTCTTTCTGTTTGTAGAAATAAAATTGCAAAGATTTTTCTTTTCTTCATCTTTGCAGATCAAAGAATTATTTCTGTAAGACACACTTCGTACCATATGTGTGGGCCCCGGGAAGTGTGGGCTCCGGCACCCCGGCCCTGCCGCACCCCGCAGGAAATACGACTCTGAGACGCAGGTAGGTCCAGGTTTCTTCTTTATTAAATCTTCGTATTCCAAGCTCTTTTAGGTATAGTGATTTAGCAGCTCTTTCTTCTGTAGTGATATTCAGCTCTCTGAGCTGTCCCTGCTCCTAGTGCGTCTTTTATAGGATTTCTTATCTTTACCGGGTTTTGAGAATAAACCAATCAGTGAGGCTTTAGACAGATTACATAACCAGAAAAACTCTCCAATGTCCACACATCACGTTCCAGTCTCTAATTGGTAGATGCCTTCATCTGTCCTATCCCATGGCTGGTTGTGTCAGCCCAGCTCCATCCCATACCATATCATCTTGCTCATGCGCACACTCACCAGTCCTGCCCACACCGAATCCAAAGCCCAGCCTCCCATACACAGCTGTAAAGACCACGGCAACCATAGCTTACATAATTATAATCTTGGATATGTTCAGGAACTTTGTGTTTAATAACAATCTTATTTGGCTTGCTGGCATTGTACTGTTTTGCAGTTGCTTCCTTTTTTCTTCTGACACCATATATAAAATTTATTTATGACATTTGTTCCTGAAATAAGTATCAGAACAATGACAATAAAAAACATTCAATTATGAATGTAAAACAACCTAGTGTAGTTTCCTATATAACCAAAAAGGCAAGGTAAGAAACTGAAGTATGTATTACCACTATGTCACACAACTCCAGTATATTTAAAGTAAGTTTAAATGGCCAGCTATTTTTATAAAAATGAGGGTGGCAATAGTATCAAAAAGATTGTTACAAATTCTTCAAAATAGTTGATTTTTATTGCCTGATAGTTAAAGACTTTTACAAATTTCAATGAATTATTTTCAAATCCTTCAGGAATAACATTCTCCTTAGTCTTTTCTTTTTCTCCTCTGGCCCTCCCTCCTCATCTGTCTTTCTTTTGCTCACTTTCTTTGTCTTTGCTCTCAGGCAGTCTTTATTGAAAGATACCTTCTTGTGCTGTGTAGAACACACAAAGAAGATGAAAAAATGTGAAGAACAGTAAACAACATAAAGCCATTTATTAAAGATAAACGAGGTCTGTTATAAAGGGAGAGGTGGTGAGGGACTCTCCTAAAATCCTTAAAGTTAAATATAAAATGGACCTTGTGGAGAAGAAGCAAATCTGAAATTGAAAAATTATTATGCTATGAAAAAAATTATAGATCTCTAGATTATGAAGCCAGACAGGATTAGTACTGTGATTTAATATGAACTCCTCCCTAGCATGGGCCATGAGATTTAACTGAATTAATTTTTTGTACCATTTAAAAAAACCAAAACAACATACCTTGATATAACATGTCCAACTACACAAAACTCCCTGCACTTCTCATAAGTAATTTCAAGAGCAGTTATACTCACTGCTAGAAGAGTAAAGAATACAAAAGAAATAGTCAGAACAGTGCTCCATCTAGTTTAGTGCTTGGTCTTTCACTGTGGTGATATCATTCTAGTATTTTAATTATACACTATTATACACTAGCAGTCTAGTATTTTATAGTTTGATCAATATTTCTGGAATTTGAAATTGAAAATCCAGTATTCTAAGTTCTAAAACTTCAGTCTAGGTTTAGATATTTTTTATACATTATCTGTCTTTTGATGTGACTTTAATACAATTGTTTTTCATGGTCATTAAGATCAACCGGCATAATGGAGTTCTTGTCATTATTGAATTATCAAARCATTTCTATCTGTATATTCTTGTTACAGGTTGCACTAACAAGAGAATCCCCATTCCCAATGTGATTGCTGCATACTGTCTTGAGGCATTTATTTCCTCTGAATTTACAGTTTTAATTACCTGAAATGATGCCAAGATGATAGTTCTGTCTGTCACGTGGGTGCTGAGGTTTTTCATGTCCAGGTAGGAGATACAGAGAAACAAGCAAAGGCACAAAGCCTTCTGGGTAGCATCAGAGGACTCTCTCTGGTGATGTATTAGCAGATTTCAGCAAATTTCAATGTCTGTTAAAGGCTATTGAAGTTACATTATCCAAAGGCTGTGGATTAAAAAAAAAATGCTGTACAATCCACCAACCTCTGACATGGAAACAGAACCAATGAACTTTCACAGTAAAGTGAAACCAATGAACTTTCCTGGTAAAGTCCCTACTAAATGAGTGATTTACATCCACAAGTTGTAAAATATTATTTTGTACAAAGTAGACCACATAGCTTTTAACAAAATATTCCTACACCACATTGGTCATAGTATAGAAATATTAGCAAGATAGTAATTCTCAACAATGAGTGTGGACAAGTACAGCTGCCACATGGCAGTAATAGGATTATATCCTTCCAAAAAAACCATTGTTTTTGAGTTTGAAATAAGTTTTTTTTCTATTTTTCTCATACTTTAGCTTCCAAGGAGGTATTTTGTGGATAATAACGCTTTCATGAGCTGTTGGGTTGATATCAAAGTGCTCTCTACCCCATTGCATATTTAATGTGCACTGCAGCATCAGAATGCCATTCCTCATCTTCCCACTTCATTTAAGTAGATTTTTATAGTACAGTGCTAAGAAGTAGCCTCTGTTTCATCTGTGTGTGGATTACTGTCAGTAGTGATAGTGACAGGTGACCAGTAGCAACTCTCCACAGTGTTCAAAGGAAATGCCCATACTTGAAAGCTGTTACCTCTTTTCTTCATGAAGCATCCATGAGGACTAAATTCCCATTTTTCATGTGAAAAAAGTGAGGCAATTTACACAATTTTAAAAGAATATATCTGTCTCCTGATTCCCAGCGTTATGTTTTTGCTACAGAGCAGCTTTCCCACCTTTGATGGCCTGCTTCAAGTAAAGCCTTTTTTCATTAAGCAAATACTGACTTTGTTCTCCTGATTGCAAGCAGACTAGAAATTACGCGGACTATTTTTGGTTGCTTCATTTTTTTGTGAATCACTTGGGTATACCATTTATTAATTAACTGCTGTTGCTCATCTAATGGGCACTCATAAACTTTTTTTCTCATGGCATGTGTTAAGCAGCAGCTATTAAGAATGCTCCTCCATGACAAAGTGCCAGGCTTTCCTTTTAACTATCATGCAGACATTCCAGCCCCCAACAATTAAACCAGATTATATGATTTAGAAGAAACTGTGGGGGAACGGGGCCCCACAAGCCTGGTTTCTGAAACCCAGGCAATCAATGTGTATGACTGAGGCCTGGGAAAAGAAAAGGAGTGTTAACTGCCCACATGGAGGAGGAATGCTGTATCCTTGAGAAAAGCAGATTGGAATGCAGAATTGATAACCAGGTGGCTGAAAATTATAAGCATTACTAATACTGTAGCTTTTGCAAACTCACCAATTATGTTCTGATTACTAATTAAACAGCTGTCTCTTGACCAATGTATGTTTGACACAAATGTGTACTCTGGTTGCTAAAGTGGATAAAAGAGGCTTGTCCCACAATAAAGTCCTTCTTTCTTTCTGTTTTTTCACCCACTTTTGTGTGTTTTGTATCTATTCTTTTCTGTCGCTGTTTGGCCAGCAGCGACAAGAAGCAGGACAGGAGCACTCTTGTTATGTGTTTTATAAGCATTTGGCTCCTTATTATAATTAGTAATTTATATTTTGGTGTGACAACGGCATACTACTTATTTTTGAACATAGATGAGAAGATACAATTTCTATCTGAAAAAACCAGACTTCTAAATCAACAGAAGATCTCATTTGCATTCTGTCTTACCCTTGAAGTAGCTGGGATTAGTAAGAGATGGGGAGGATCAAAGGGTTATAGGAAAAGATGCAAGTGAACTGCCACGACAAGGGTTGGTGGTGGCAGATACAGCACACTGGGATTTTTGAGGTTTTCTAATACATCTAGCACTAATTCTGAAGGATCAGTACACAGATCTCCTCTGTCAAGTAATACATAACATGTTAATTCAGACTTTAGTCATTTGGGGAGCAGAATTACTGGAGTAGCAAGCCTAACTATTATTTTCTTAGGCAATGTCTATGAGAAAATTTGATTGAGATGGCAGAAAGGGAAAGTCATAGGAGCTGACTGTTATCCTGTGACTTGCCACAGGGTCACCAAATGATAGGAAGAGAATTGTTTCACTGTTTATACATCAGTTTCTCCATCAATGAAATAGAAGTAGTGAAATGTACTGATTGCTGTGAAGTATTTTGGTATCTATGATGAAAAGTCCTAAAAACTTGAGGCTCGTTCGAAAGCCCTTTGAAGTCCTCAGAAGGCCGTTGACTCAGCTACCTTAATTTGCATTTGCCTTAGTCTGCAAGTCACCCACCAGACTCCTGAAATTTGGAAATGTACCACTGAATACATTTCTCAAAGATGGAAAAATCTATTCTCAAGTAATTATTATCATTATCTTTGACTATTTGACTATTCAGTTTGAATTTAGAAAACAGCAGTGTGATATATGCATTTGGATTGTTTGTAATATTTTACAAGATCAAGCTGAAAACTTAGAAGATGGAGAAGGAAAAACCCCAGCATGTTTCCCTGACACCAAAGAACAAACTCTGACAGAAACAGGCTCTGGGTTTTTTTAATCTTTCTTTTTTTCTGAAGGTAGATGAAAAAGATCAGGAGAAACTATGTATCATTAGAAGTGAATAAGTCTGTGGTAATCCATACTAAATTTACCGGGTCGTATCTTCTAAGAAGGTATTAGGCACCAAAGGGCATGTTTGCAAAAAAAAAAAAAAAAAAGTATTTAAAAGTTGATGTCTACTTTTTTTTCCATTTAATGAATGAAATGGCACAGACTTTCCAGGAGAATTTTAAATCTTTTATTGTGATAGGTAAGGTGAGAGAAGGTTGTAAGATGAAAGCTCATTATTCAACAGAGCTCACAACAAATGAAATGTGTGCTGTAAGAACATACTTCGGGTTTTTTTTGTGTTTTTTTTTTTTTTGTTTTTTTTTTGTGGAGACTAAGAAGCTTCTTTTTGCTAAAATAAAAACATTATCTTTATGAAGAAAACATTTTTTCCTAATAAATATT